TATCGGAAGTGGGGGGAAGACAGAAACCAAACACATATGGAAAACATGGGGAATCCTGTTATGTGTGTTTGTTTAGTTGTGTGTCCCAGGACCCCTCCGATGTATGTATGTACGTGTACATATATATATATATATATACATATATATGTATATATGTATGCATGTATGTATATATATCTAGAGAGACAGAGAGAGAGAGAGAGAGAGAGAGAGAGAGAGAGAGAAAGAGAGAGAGAGAGAGATTTCGGCATCCTTGCGCGACGACGCACGCGCACGCACTTGGTCATAATATTGCAAGGGGTTCTTGAACATTGATGATCGTTAGTAAACGGGCGCGCGCGAATTTCATCTTCTGCCGAGGATATCGGGAGGGCCAAACTCCAGCCTGGCTGGGGGGGGGGGGCGAATTCACACTTCGGATGGACGATGGAGCAAGCATGTAAATTGCAATGCGAAAAGGTACCCCGTCAGCCCCAAGGGGGGTAGATTTCAATATTTGCGTGGGCAGGAAACTGACGTTGTGCAACATAAGCGGCGAGTGGGCGGCGACGGCGACAACGTTGCCGCCAGATCGACCGTCTTACCCACACGACGGGCGGCTACGATGCGGCGACGCGGCGGCGACGGCGACAACGCATCCGCCAGACCAGCCCGCAGGCACAAACGACTGGCGGCGACGGGGCGGCGACGGGGCGGCGACGGCGACAACGTGGCCGCCAGACCGGCCCGCGGGCCCATTTCTTTGTTCAATGTAAAGACTTTCAACAGGAGGCATTGTTGGGGGACATCGGCTATAACACACAAATTGATCCACGTAGATTTTTTCACCAAAAACAGGATCCACCACCACCCCCTAGCTTTATCGGTGCGCATTTGTGTGTTGCAATTTTCACATAAATCTGCCGCACCGTCCATCCTAAAAATGAACTAATACCACCCCAGCCCAGCCGGATTTGACCCCCCTCATCATCCTCTGCAAAAAATTCCATGCGCGCGCGCTCGTTTATCAACAATCATACGCTTTCATACATCCTTTGCAACAAACGTAACGAAGTGCACGCGCGCGTCGTCGCGCGCGCATGCCGAAATCTTTGCAAAACCTTAGGTTTCGGAAGGTTTTCGAAATTCATCCGACAGCCATTGTTTTTTTCGACATATTCAGAACATGCTACCAAACGGGCTTCGCGCGCGCATGTCGAAATCGTTCGAACGCCCCTGCGCGCGTGCCGTCGCGAGAATCCCTAGCAACAAAAATGGCGAAGTGCACGCGCGCGCGTCGTCGCGCTCATGCCGAAATCTTATATTTATACACGTATGTATGTATGTATCTATGTATGTATGTATGTATGTATGTATGTATGTATGTATGTATGTATGTATATATACGTACATATTAAAAGCGTAAAACGCCGTGGGTTTCGTAACGATTTCAAAACCGAATATCCAAAACACATGTAAACAACAACGCATGGTTTCGCAGCATCAGTTGTCAAACAAAACTCGCGCGCGCTCTTGCGAATTCTCAAAAAAACTGTGTTTTCTTCTCTTCAACGTTGTCATGGATTTCTGCCAACCCCAACCGGACCTCTGGCGCGGCATGCCGACATCATTCGTGCGCCTTTGCGCGCGTGTTAGGGGGCGCGATCCGCGTCAAATACAAACGCGCGGGCCACTCGCGCGTCGGCCGCGCGCGCATGTCGAACTCTTTCCGAACCTTCATCACCGACGCGAGGACGCCGTCATCGTCGTCGGCGCGATCAGCATCGGCTCCCGCACTGGCCGCGAATTCGTCGGTGCGAACATCGTCACAATCATCGCTGCTACCATCAACGGGTCTACCGTTGTCGGCGTTGCCATGGTACCGCTCCCGCCCAAGTCGCCGACTCGCAGTGAAGAGCCCGCTAGGGTGCGCCCTGCGGTCAGCGCCGCCGCGGCCGCGTCGGTCGCGTCAAGCTGGCGGGCCGGCGCGCGCGCGTGGTTGGGTTGGCGCGGCCGCAGAGATAGACCAGACAACGCTGAGCACTCATCGCGATCGCCGCCGCCTTGGCATTGTAGACCAAGTTGCGGGTGGGTGGGCGGGATGATTGCAAGAGCATGGGATGTGTCAACTCATTTGTTTTAAATCCATTGCACCACATATATTGCCCAACCTCGATTGCACAACATGGATAAGTTACACAAAATATAGTATCCAACATAGAGTGCTTAACACAGGGTGCACCACGTTGATTCTCTTGTCTGAAAAGAAATGTATTTAATCCCCCCCCGGGATCATCGAACCACCTTTTTTCGTATTGAAATTTACATTTGAGTTTGCCCCATTGCCCATCCGAAATATGATCTCGCACCCTCCACGGGGCCGGTATCCGCCCCTCCCCGCCATCCTCTGCAAGAAATACTACGCGCGCGCATTCGTTAATGAAAAATCAGTTTGTTTGTGCTGCTTCTGTTTCCCAGGAATTTCTTGCGAACGACGGGGCGAAGTGCGCGCGCGCATGTCAGAATCCGTTAAAAACAATCGGCTTCGCAAACATGTCAAGATTTAGCCCCCAAAAGATATTAAGAACAACGCGAGGTTTCGCAGCACCGATTTCCATTATTCATCCAGGTGCGACCCTACCTAGAAGTTGGAGCCTCCAGGAAAACAACATTAGTAGGAACGGTAAACGCCGTCCTCCTCCTTCTCCCCATCGTCGTAGTTGTAGCAGCTATGCTATGCTATGCTATGCTATGCTATGCTATGCTATGCTATGCTATGCTATGCTATGCTATGCTATGCTGCGCCATTCTATGCTGGGCTAGGCTAGGCTAGGCTATGCTATGCTATGTTATGCTATGCTGCGCTATGCTGTGCTATGTTATGCAATGCTATGTTATGCTATGATATGTTATGTTTTTGCTTTTCTTTCGCTTTTGCCTTCACTTTTGCCTTTGCACCCAGGGAGCGCAACTGGGGGAACCGCGTGTTTGCTTTTTCATTTGCTGTTGCTTTCGCTTGGCTCCCCGGGGACTGGGGGAACCGCCCGGGGCGCGTTCCACTGCCGGGCCCCTTTAAGCTACAGAGTAAGAACCCTTCTAGGCAGAGCCTAGTTAGGGAAAAAGCTTGCGCATTTTTTCCGAGTTCCCAAGAAAACCTTCGGTGTTTTAACATGCCCAGAACATGTTACCAAACAGACTTCGCGCGCGCATGCCGAAATCGTTCGAAATCCCTTGCGCGTGTGCCGTCGTGAGAATCGTTTGCAACAAATAAGACGAAGTGCGCGCGCGCGTCGTCGCGCGCGCATGCCAAAATCCGTCAGAACCTTCTTGGTTCCGTATCGACTTCAAAACCGAGTGTCCAAACAAACATGCAACTACAAAGCATATGGTTTCGCAACATCAGGTTGCAAAACAACATGCGATCGCGCTCTTGCGAATTCTTGGGGGGCCCATCGGTGTCTCAACATGTTCATGGAATTCTGCCAAACGGGCCTCGGGCGCCTCCTGCCGATATCATTCGTACGCCCTTGCGCGCGCTCGGGGGGGCACGATCCGTGTCAAATAATACCATGCGGCCCACTATCGCGCGTCGGCCGCGCGCGCATGTCGAACTCTTTCCCGAACTTCCATTACCGACGCGAAGACGCCGTCATCGTCGTCGGCGTGATCAGCATCGGCGCCCGCCCTGGCCGCGCCGCCGTCGTTGGCAATACCGTTGCCAGCATCGCTACTATCATCATCGTGTCTACCGGTGGCGACGTTGCCATGATACCGCGCCCGCCCAAGTCGCCGACTCGCATTGAAGTGCCCGCTGGGATGCGCTCTGCGGTCAGCGCCACCGCGGCGGCGTCGGTCACGTCAAACTAGCTGGCCGGTATGCTCGCGCGCTTGGGCTGGCGCGGCCGCAGAGATAAACCAGCCAACGTCAAGCATTCATCGAAATCGCCACCGCGATAGTTTTGCAGACCAAGTTGCGGGTGGGTGGGTGGGACGATTGCGCGAGCAGCGGAGGTGGTCAAGCGCGGTGCACGGTAGAAAATTGCACCACACAGGTTGGTCTACATAGGTTCCACAGCATCGATTGTACCATATATATAACAACAATTGCACCACCAAAAAAGTTTCTCGTATGTTGCGCCACAGACACTGCACAGCATAGAAACACACTGTTGTGGTCTACGTTGGCTAGCATTGTGAGAGCACCCGCTCGTTCAACGCACATGTCGTGGTTGGCCGATAGGAATGCCAGGGCGGCCAGTCTTTGCAGCAATTGTCGCCGAGGCCCCCCCCCCGATGCCTCCCACCCCAGTGCGCCCCGAGGGGTCCGCGGCGTCTCTCCAGCGGCCGCACGGGACGACGCGGGCACCCCCAGGAAACTCTCTATGCGGGGCGCAGCTGCTGTAGGAGCGTCCCGAGGCCGGAGGGCCGACGAGGGCCGACGAGAGCGTCCGACGGGAGGTGAGGGGGGTTGGCGGGCCTTGCCCCAGGCGACAGAAGGCGCACATGTGGGGCGTGACGTTCATGAGCAAAGCGCCGCGATTACACGTTGGGGGCGGTTTCGGAAGGGCTCCAACGTGGCCGCAAGAGGCTCCAAGGCGATCCCGCACCAGGCCCCCCAGGAACGAAAGTTGCCGGCCTCCCTCAGCGTTCGGGCATGCTTGGCGTTCGCTATGCTTCAGCTTAAGACGGCTCCAGGAAGGGCCCCAGAGGCTTCCACGACGGCACAAGAGCGCGCGAGCGCTGCACAAGAGGCCCCCTTCCAAGACGACCCAAGGCCGTGCAAGGATGGCCCCAATGCTTCCCAGACGGTCATCAGACCTCCCCTAAGGGCCCGAGGCATTTGGGGACCCAGCCCCCAAATGCCCACAGTAGACCCCGCGAGAGCCCGAGAGCGCCCCGCGGAAGGCACCAAGCAGGCCCCAGGACAGGACGAGCCAGCGATGCCGCGCCCATTCGACTTGTGCGGCGCCTTCCGCCCTCGTGGCTGCCAGGTCTGAACTGCCTCCGGCCCGAGGGGGCAGCGGCTTGCACTACCAGCGTGATGCGTTTTAAATCCTCGGGCGCTGCAAAGTGGAAAGGCTGTCCGCCGTCTCAGGGCGTTCGCATGCCACCCTCAGTGCTGGCAGCAGGTGCTCGTGTCAAGACATGCTCGCCGTGTCCTTCCGAACTGCCCTAGTGTATACACCGCGCGTTCCTGATTTTGCATAGGGGACGGCGCCATGCTCTCCCATTTGCGCGTGCTTGTGCATGTGCAAGGGTGACCTCAGCGATTGCTGCGTGTATGGTGTGCGACAGACGGGCGCGGGAAGGCCGCTGCGCTCGAAATGCGCAGATGAAAGGACGCCACGCCGACTAGGGAGAGATTCAGGGATGGTGCTCGCAGACGGCTGGCAGAAGAGAAGCGGCAGGGATTACAGCCTTACCCTCTGAGCGGCGACAAAGCCTGGCGGCATTGCTCGCGACAATGGGCCTGAGCCCCAGGGATGTCTCCTTCGGAGAGGGATCAAAAGCAGTATCAATATAACGACGGTTGGACGACCCCATCAGCGTGTTATTGTTAAAACAGTGTCAGGTTTTGTCAAACTGCCTACGGCAAGTTCCGCCACCGTGCCTGGGTTGTTGGAATGAAGCCTATTGGATGTTCGTTGGGACCTCCTGGGAGGCCTCTCGGAGGCCTCTTGGAAGTAGTTTTGAAGCCCCCAGGGGCCGTTTTGGGGTCTCTTGGGGCCTCTTAGGGCCTCTTGGGGCCTCTTGGCAACAGGGCCCGAAGACGGCCTGAGGGCGCCCCAAGGCGGCCCAAGAGGCGCCCAAGACGGCTCGAGAGGGCTTCAAGACGGCCCTAAAAGGCCCAAGATAGGGAACACGAACAGAAGATCCGAGCTTTCCGCCCCAAGAGGCCCCCTGGAGGTCCCAGGAGGCGCCCAAGAGGCCCCAAGAGGCCTCCAAGAGGGCCTTCTGGGCCGTCATAGAATCCTTGAAGAGCCCCGGGGAGGCGCCATGACCGCCCAGGGACCGGCGGTAATAGGGGCGATGCAGTCATGGAAGCGTGACCAGGGGGGTGGGGGGGGCCCTTAGAAGACTAAGCAAAACCTTGCCAGGCAGCCTTTGGCATTCTTCCACGCCTACGCGTGCCGCGGGCACGGCGGCGGATACAATGAGCGAGCGAGTACGTACCGCGCGCTGTTTGAAAAACGACGCGCGTGTCATTGATACTCGTCGTTCCCCGCCGAATTGACGGTGCAGCAGGTGTGGTTGGCGGTGCCACTAGTCGACGATCAGATCACCCGATGTGCCCGACCAGACCAAATCGCCCCCCCCCCGTGGATCCAGACCTTCTCGGGAGCGCTGGCCACCCACACGCTTCGAGAGAATGTCTGGGCCCACCATGCTGCCCAGTGGATCCGGCCGAATCCGCTTGGTGATCTTCGCAGAAGGAATATGTACACCAGCCTGCCTGTCCAGGGCCATCCTGCGCACAAGGATGGTGAGTAGACCCTCCGGGCCGCAGCCAGAAGGGAGTACTAAACCATGCCGTGGCCCTCGCCAGGCATTGCTGGTCAATTATTTGCACACTGCATAGTTAGCTGACTAAGAAGATTGAGGAAATGACAATCAACGGCATCAAAAGAACCTTCCTCGTTCAGCTGTCGGGTGATTCGATCCGCGGATCCCCCTCCTCTCTCCATCCCTGGCCTTCCTCCCGATCGCTCTCCTCGATGCTCTTGGCAGCGGGAGCGCACGGAGTGGGTGAGGGAAGGAATGGTGTGAAGAGGACGATCGAAGTTTGAGGATCGTGGAACTACTTCCTCAGATCATAGGCGCAGGCTGTTCTGATTGATGCACACCCCGAAGCACACACACACACACTCAGACTCAGTCATACCCAGATTTGTTCACGCTCAGCCGACGCACCATTCAGACATTCAGGTACTGTTTTGTTATGACCACCCACCTCCAGTCCTACCCATACTCAATGTAGGATCGTGCCCAACATTTCTCACCCGTGGCCCATACCCACTTGTCGTCCAGAGTTGATCGCCACGCCTCTCAGTAGAACCCAACGGTTCGCCCGTAGCAGAAGTGTGGGCCCTTGCGCTTCGCGGGAACCCTCCGCCTCACTCTTCACGTCGCATCCCGTCCATTGTCCATCGCATCCAGACTCTCTCGAACCCATCTACCCATACACAGATCCGTTATGTCCAAGCCAAATCACACATCTGGATCGTTTATATTCTGCCTCGCCCCCGTTCGGACTCACCCACGCTCACACATGCTCCGTCTCACTTACATTCAGTCAGAGAATCACCAGCCCTCCGATCTCGTCATACATCTTGCTCGCACTCAGACTCTCCACGCCAGCGCAGGGCCCCCCCCACACCTCCACGACGCCTTTATGTGCAGCCTGTGGGAAGGTCCTGGGCCCACGCGTCCACGACCCCTCTCCTCCTCCTCCTCCTCCTCCTCCTCCTCCTCCTCCTTCTCCTCCTCCTCCTCCTCCTCCTCCTCCTCCTCCTCCTCCTCCTCCTCCTCCTCCTCCTCCTCCTCCTCCCCCTCCTCCTGCCAAGCTCACGGGTCGCCTCCGAGGGCCTCCGATGGCTGCCGGACCTCGGCGAGGGCCTCCGAGAGGGCTCCGAGAGGGCCTCCAGACGGCCGGAGACCGCAACGCGCACGGGATCCATGCCCGGGCCGAGGAGGGTCGCGCCGGCCTCGCCCGCGCCACGGTGGCGGGACTTGCCGCCGGCCGCCAGACCATGACGAGACGGAGGTGGCAGGAGCAGAGCACGGGAAAGCAGGTGCAGGAGCAGGGGGAGCGGAAGCAGCGGCGGGAGGAGGGGCAGGAGGAGGGGGGGAGACGGAGGGGGGGGAGGGGCGGAAAGGGATGGGGAAGGGAAAGAGCAGGCGGGGGACGCATGCTTTCTCTCTCTCTCTCTCTTTTCCTCTTTCTTTCTTTCTTTCTTTCTTTCTTTCTTTCTCTCTCTCTCTCTCTATATATATATATATATCCATGAGGGCTTCGCCCCCATGCCGCTGGCCCCCCTCTCTTAGAATGGGACTTGCCAGAGCTGTGTTGGGATGTCTGGACGCTGACGTGAAGTAATACCGGGATTTCATGCGAGGGCCAACGATAATTTACAAGGGTTTATGGCTTCGGTGGCGCGAATCTTATGTCATTTACAATGATTTATGGCTACAGGGTCGCGAACCTTGCGTGATTTGCAACGGTTTGTGGCATCGGGGACGCAAAGGCTGTGTAATGTACGAAGGTTTATTGCCTCGGGGGCACAATTATTGCGGAGGGTTTATGGCCTCGGAGACGCGAATCTTGTATCATTTGCCAGGGTTTGTGGCCTCTGGGAAGCCAGTATGGTAAAATGTTCGAAGGTTTGGCCCTGGGGAGGCGAATCTTATATATGATGTTCTACGGTTTATGGCTTCGGGGGCGCGAGTGTTCCTTCATTTAGAAGGGTTTATAGCTTCGGAGGCGCGAAAAGATGCGTGGCAATGCGACAAAACGATTGTAAACATTACGCGCCGTCGCACCTTGCACGCGAGCAGGCCACGGTTCGAAGACGGCCTCAAATTCGGCAGGGACTTCTGGTCATGGCCACAAGCCATCCACACCGAAGTGCGAAACATGGCCCGCGTAGGTGGCCCACGTGGTCTGCCCAGAAGAACACAACGAAATCAACAATCTTGAGGGCACAGCACCCCGCGGTTGTCTTGATTAAACTGCTTTGGGGAAGCTGCCCACTGCTCCCAATGATCCCTCTTTCCATTACAGAGTAATTCCAGTAAATACACTTACATGATCAATGGTGCAAGCAATTTGCTCATCGCCCCTTTATTGTTGATGAAAAGCTATATGGTTCGACCACGGAAGCATGATTGTTTTCATTGGCGCCTGCACGGCGCAACACAATGGCACAAACAAGTCCAAGCCGTCGTGCGTCACCTTCGCCAAGTCGGTCTCTTAGATTGCGAAAAAGAACAAATACAGAGGCGCAACACGCATCCAACGAAGGACAATAATGTGACTACTTCTTCTGCAGAAGAAAAGGGTGCTTTCAAATGCCCTGTTTTTTCCGCGTGTCAAGCTGATGACACATCCACTCAACAAGAGGAACTACGATGACCCAAACATTAACAGGCCCGTGCGAAGGTGCTCCAGGACGATCGAAGCGGCAGTGAGGATACGAAAGCTTGTCAGAGCATCAATGTTGTTCTGCCGAGTGTCGACTCCCTTGCTGGGGTAAACCGCAACCTCCAACGTAAACATGATCAACAATGACCAAGCAGACAGCTGATACACTATGTTCTGCACTGACTCAAGCAACGTATTCCCCATTCACGAAGTACACATGATACGCTTGAAACCAGAACCTGCTCTGGCCACGTTCGAGGGCACAACTGCCTATGGCTTCAGTGGAACGCCTGTTGGCTGTCTTTGACTGTTTCTGGCTGTGTCCGGTTGATCCAGTGTCCCCTGGGCCCTCCTGGCGATTCCTCCCAATTCCTGGCTGTGTTTGGTATCCCTGGTTGTCTGCACTCCCAGTTGTTTTTGGTGTTCTTTGATTGTTCCAGTTGCTCCCGTGGCCTCCTGGTGAACATTGGTTGTCCCTTGCCAGTCTCGGCTGTGTTGCAATTCTCTTCCGTTTCCATGGGTGACATGAAGGACGCGCCGACTACTTCGAGGTGATCTTGAGGCTCTGGGAAGAAGCTGCACGTCCACTGGGCCGAAACAGGCCAGAAAGCCTTACACTCTAGGCGCTAACGGTGCCTCACCTTTGGGAGGCCCAAGTGCTTTGCCTCATACATCGCGGCAATCATGTGGCTCTGAAGAGATACATGTCCAGTGGGCCCAAGAACAGGCGTTTCGCTTCACATCATGGGGCTCCGAAAAGAAACTCGCCCACTGTGCCGAAACATGCGCTTTGCCTGAAAAGTTCCCGCAATCTGGGCGCAGAAGGGCCCAGGCAAGACCCATCGGCGGCTTCCCTTCTGGAAAACGCAGAATGCAATGCCTGCTACTTCGCGGTGGTCATGGGGGCCCGAGAAAAGATTCGTCCTGGGCTCAAGCAAGCGTTTCGCCTGACAGGTCCCCGCAATTTGGGCGCGAACGGGCCCGTGAAACACACCCGGTACACCCGGTGGTGGCTCCTCTGTGGGAAGGACCACATGCCAGCTTTACCACATCGTGGAAAAAACATGGTGCTCCGAAGGTAGACACGTCCACTGGGCCGAAGCATGCGTTTCCGCCATCCGCGCGCGAACTGGCCCATGAAGCACCCCTTGTCGGCAACATTCTAAATAGCCCCAATACAATACTGGCCTTCGTGGTGAAACCCGCCCACTAGGCCAACACACGCGTTTCGCCAGAGAGAGTCCCCGCAAATTGGGCGCGGACGGGCCCGCGC